TACTTTTTAGTTTATTCGATCATTCACAATGTTTAAAAAACACAATTAAAATTAATAGAATATCCTAGCAGCAGCTTGCGTTAGTCAGTTGTATCCATAGAGAAAGCCCAATATCATTGATAAAAGAAAATAATCTACTATTAAGAAAGATATAAAACTTAATAGTAAAATTTTGGGTCAAAGCGCCCCTCCGTGTTTTTAGTGAAGACTACGTTTAACCCAGCGCCTTCGCCTTTTCTGCTGTAAATGTTTTTTATGTTTATATTTGAATTCAAAGGATTTATTTTTAAAGTTACACTGATATATTAGTATATCAGAGTAACTTTAATAAATCATAAGAATATATATATATTTTACAATTTATTTTTTTATTTATTTTACATAGTTTCATGTAAATGATCGTAAGTCGACTGGCTGTCTAATGAATAGACCGAGATTTATAGATTTTAAAGCAAACGAAAAGAAATCAAACAACGAATACATACCATATATTTTTCTTTTATCTAAGATACATACCTTATCATCTTTTGGAAACACGTACCTACATTTTTGCAGTTTTATTAGTTTCTTTGCAAGATGCAACACAACACGAAAACGCCATTTTTACAGTTAATAAATAATAAAACTATTTCTGACTATGATATTTAAAATTTAGATAGATAGAAAATTAAAAAACAAACGAGTATTTGCAAACGCAGGCCCAAATTCAATAAAAATCAAAATTTTTCCTGCGAAAATCAGGCTTTTGTCACTGAAAAGGTATTTTTTGATTTATCAGCAGTCATTGTCAAGTTGACAATATACAGGGTGTTTTCGAATTAGTCTAAAAAAATTAAGGTGTGATTCCTCATGTGTTCTTAAAACAATTTTTATATAACCATTGGGTCTAAAGTACTTCCTTTCTGTTCTACAGGGTGTTAAAAATTAAAAAAAATCGATTTTTTTGCTTAACATATATGGTACAACACTGCTTTTTTAAAGAAAATATATTTTTTTCTTGACTGGCCATCCTTTTTCAACCAAACTGATCTTTTGAGTTTTTCTTGTTCATCAAACGGTTGTCGAGAAAAAATTAAATATACTTATTAAGAGCCCGCCTTAATTCGTTTTCTAACGATTTTTTATTTTTTAGATTAATTAGGAAACACTCTGTATATGCATATCACAGGCAACCAAATAAACTAGTAACCTCTAAAAATTATTTTTCCTACCACTAGCGACATACCGTGTTTTTAGTGTGTACTAAATTATTTTATCAAAATTTCCCCATATAAGTTTCCAGGCAATGGCCCAATATACAGCTTACAAAACAATCAATTTTTGATTTCTAACCATAATTTCTCTTGACGGAAGATAATCAAAGGCCAAAATGGCATTTCTCGCAAATTATGAAGTATAATTAGGGGAAAAGCTAAAAGTTTGATAACTTTTTCTACTAATTGAAAATGTCTACCATTAATTTTGACGTTGTAAATGCTTACATTGAAATTAAAGGAACAAACTTCTACGCTAATTGAAACCATTAATTTATTCCACTAATTGCGAGGTTCTGAATGAAGCTTAAAATTAAATCGTCTCAAGTAAAATACAATAGTGATTCGTGTTTGTATGTAATTTAAAAATTTTATTTTTAGAATTACTGGCAAAAATTAGAGTTAAATTTAAGAATAGTGGTAAAGTAAATAAGCGGTTTCTTAGAGGTTTTTAACCTATTTTCCTAATTTATTTTTGTTTCGCCAGTATAACAGACAGCAGTTTTTGTTGTATTCGGTACAATACGTACTAGTTTTGGTAATAACAATTTAAAATTAGAGTAACCTTCGGTTCAATAAATCCAGGTACCAACAAAATTCAAAATTTTACGGTTTATTTATTTATTGTAATCGTAACAAGAAAAACACTATTAAGTAAAGTATAGGCTTTAATCAAATATTAAATTGATTTTTATAGGAGGATATCTATATAGATTGTTATTAATTTTAACAAAAAGTTCAAATTAATTTTACAGTTAACATAATTTTAATTTTACAGTATAGTTTATTGATTTTATTGTGTGCAAATATTTATTTTTATTTTAGTGGGGGTATATTTAAACCTCAGAAAAACTTCTATGATTTTTTTGCGAAAAACACAATTTATTATTTTTAGAATTATAATTAATACTCTTCATAAAGTTAAAGTCTTTAAAAATATATACAAAACAGAAATGATACATTCAAAACATGACTGATAAAAATTTACATGCTATACATCTTGTAAAAAGATTTGTTTTCCATTATCCTGCCAGTCATTTCAGCGATCTAAAAATATCAATGAAATAAATTACAATGTTTTCAGTTTAAAGACTTTCTAAATTATTGATTGTCTATGCACGCAGATACTCTGTTTTTATGAACTTTACAATCGGCGAAAATATGCCAAAAATCAGCATTCCTGGTAAATACTACGTCAAATTGCAAAATTAATGCTAAACATTATGACGAAGTACGTAGGTAATTATACTATGGTATACGCAATTATTCATGACGATGTTTAGGTGAAATATGCATATAAATCAGCATAAAATTACCCTCCATGAACAGCCGTGTTACCAGAAATTATTTTTTAAACATTTTACTTAAAATCACTACATGGAAATGAATTGAGACTAGCAGGGCAAAAACGGCGCAACTCCAAAAAGCTTGTTTTGGGAAAACTTGGAATAATGAACTAAACTTTAGACATATTAGACTGTTTTTCTTTATGTATTTATTTGCAAAGTTAGTAGGCCAATATTAATAATTGCATGAAAACTATTAATGAAGCAAATTTTGTACCTTAAAACGTTTATTTTTATTTAGATACAACATAAATTTAATAAAATAAATATCATTCAGCTCAAATTTGCGAGTTTGTGGATTAGGCCGTTGTTGCGCTGGTAGCCTCCATTATGGAATGAATTTCTATGTCTGGCTTTTAAGTTCCGTCTACACATAACGTTTTACCTGTTCAGTCAAAACGTATCAAGTAAAACCTTGTGGGTACGTTTAAAAGTGTGTTTACACGGGTCTGCGCCGCGCCGCGCAAAATATTTTTTTAAGATGTACTTTTGAAGTGTATTTTTTTAGCGCGCACAAAGGTATATGTTAAAAAAATGAATTGCGCGGCGTGGCGCAGAGCGACGCAGCCGGCGTGAACGCACCTTAATACAGCATCTTTAAAATTAAACGACTTTTAAAAATCAAATATTTTTTGCATAGTTTCACAAAATAATGCAATTTTACATAATTGTTTTTAGATGATTATTACCAAACGATACTATTTTCACATTTTTTTATTTAGCTTTACGCGTTGTATTTGTGGAAACCATAATAATTACGATTTTGTAGTAAAATTCCACGTTTTTTATTTTTTTTTCTGATTGTTAAAACCACAGGTAAAACTTCTAGTGTATATGCTAGTTTTTAATCGGTCTTATCTGACAGATAAAACGTTATGTATAGGCCGGGCTTTACTGAAATAGCTTATTTATCACGAAAAATAAATCATAAAAGTAAAAAATAGTTTAGCCTTTGATTTTCTAGAATTTCCTTGTTTTTGATGTACTGTAAAATGACCAGAGTATGTTAAATGTTTATTCCAGTAATGCAGTCTAAAAATATTAATGTTTCATCTACCGAGAATTTCATCATTTAAACAATTTTATTATGCATTAGGTATACCTACATATTATCTAAACCCAGTTAGGTACATATTATTTTCTTCACTTAGAAAAATGAAATATTTTGATTTTATGACATATATTTAAAAAAAAGGTTTATGTATGTTATAATTTATAATATGACCTAAAGGAAGGAATATATCAGTAAATAATATAAATGCCTAAATGATGACAAACGTTTAAATAATTACCTTGACATTCAAGTTTGTTGAATGGTTACTTACATAGAAATAAAAAAAATATTTTTTCTTAAGCAAGTTGTCTTGTCTAGCAATCATTATTTCATACTTTTTATTGGAAAAATAAAGAAGTCTAAAGTTAAGAACTTCCTACGTCGTTCATATATTTACATGTCTTCTAGATTTAAAAAAAAATGTGTTCTGTATCTCTTAAACTACACAGATTATATTAGTTAATGTAAACGTTCATATAAACAAAAACAACACCAACTTTGCCAGATATAGGCAAAAGATTGCCTATATCTAGAAGGGATTTTGAAATTGAAAGTGTGAAATATTTAAAAAATAAAATGATTTAAATGAAAAATCATCAAAATTATATCAGTAAAGTAAGTATTTAGCGATTTTTTAAAATTTTGACCAGGAATTTTAATAAAATAAATAATTTTCTACTGAATTTTTAAAGAATGAAAAGTATTTTTGTAACCACATGTTCTTTGATAATATTTGATCTACAGTTTAAAAAAATACCTGGTATTAATAACCGGTATAAACAGGCTAAAATATTTAAAAAAAAATAATATATTTAAAGCAACATTTTTCCAATTACACTAAAAGAGACGACAGATATTAAATAAATGCTTAAGTAAAAGTTCTATACCACGATTTCTCCAAGTAGGCGTTTCGAGTTTCTGGAGATCTGTTTGGTAATAGTAGCAAGTTCGTGACAAAATTTTAATTATGATGCCATAGAAACTGCAAAATCACAATAAAACACCAATTCACAATCACAGTGCACTAAACATTTACTATTAAAAATCAGCTGTTGATGATACGCCGATATACCTTATACGCCAAAAAATTAAATCTCTCCACCTTTATCAGTCCTCGATATCTTTTAAAGCAAGAGTTCTTATTGGGTAAAGACATACCAACAAATAAAAAAAAACTTGTATTTATAGAAAAAAATTAGCAATAAAAAGAAATTTATAACAAAATAGAAAGATAATTTTGTCTATCCAAAGCAAATCAAAAAGTTTTCTTGGTACAAAACTCGTTACTTCTGAAGTAACTTAAGAATCCAGAACACCAACCAAAAACTTCAAACTTTCCACCCTTACCGCTCTTTCTCTTATCCGGCAACACGAAACTCTTGCTCCTCTTCACCCTCAACGACCTCCTCCTCAAACTCCTCAGGAAACTCTCCGGCATCTTCTGAAATTTCGGCGGTTCCATCGACTCCTTCTTCGTGTCCGACATCATCAGCCAGCTTTTCACCGTGCTCATCGACAACCCCCTCGACTTCTTCGGCGTCGGGGTAGGAGGTGGCTCGTTCCTTATATCCACCATCTTGGATGAGGTTAGTCCAGAATGAGAGGAAAACTTAAATTACACTAACACCGATAAAAGTTTTTCATTTTAGCACGGCGCGATCTTTTTTACGCGACTGGATTGGAGATAGCGCGACACCGGTTTCAATGCGTGCGGTTTGGCGCCCGTCGAGCCAATGCCGCTTCTTTGCCGTTTTGTTGAGAAACGGCTTTAGATAGGACGGTCGCGTGGTGTCGGAGCTTGCGCGCGCAAGGGAGCTTTCCGAGCGCGTTCGGAATCGTGCTTTACTACGAATTAAGCACGGTTTACTACGAACTAGGTGAGTTATGAATGGTTTCTAAGAATGTCGTGACGATGTGTAACCTTTATCGGTGTCTGAATTGATAAAAATCGACAATATATTTTACGTACCACGGTAGTTTGAAAAGTTTTCGACCAACACAATGTAAGGAATAAGGAATGCCTTGATGAGCCATGTTTGACCATCTGTTGTGAACATACATTTAATATGGTTATATGTATATGTATATTCGACAAATTGTATAAAATATTATTTTTACCCTTATTCTACGGCTATGCCTAAAGAATTTAAGGTACGAAAAATACCATCAACATTATTATTCTTCTCAGAAAGATGGGTGATGCAAATAAACAGAACCATTACCTTATCGATAACTTACCTACCTACTTATTGCCATTACTCGCTGACGGGTATTTGATACACATCAGAAGATGGTTAGGTTAGGAAATTTAATTTAACGAAATTCCTGAAATAGAACTATAATAATTCAATTATTAATTTTTAAATGGCTCTACTTTAGAAACCGGAAGGTTTAGGTATAGGAACATGATATATCGTTATATCGTATTTTATTAGTCTTTTGATTTTTTGAATAATATTAATAGGGTTGAATTTAAAATAACAACAGTAATTTTATAACAAACGGAAATAAATATTTTTGCTCCCTCTGTGTAATATTCAATTGGTTTATTTAGACAGATCGAATATATCGACTTTTGTTAACATATAACCCAAATTTCAACTTTAAAAATGTTTTTTGTTTCCATAGCAACTGTTAAAATTGCCTTATATCTCAAAATAAAAACACTAAATCACCACAATACACCAAAACACTTTTACTTTTACATTGGACGCGCGTTTCGCTAACCATGTTAGCATCATCAGCAGATGATTATAAACTCACCTGATGTTTATAAACTCTTTTTATAACTCAAAGTGTTTTGGTGTATTGTGGTGATTTATTTTGCTGTGTAACACCAAAGGTTCCAACCCTCAACTGTAATCTTCGATAGCTTCACGGTCAACGGAACTGAATCTTTATCGTAAGTTTAGTACTAAGATTAGGTTATTAGGAGCAGATATTTGGTTTCTTAAATCATGCAAAGCCAATTCAGTTTATCCTAGTTTTATTAAAGTTGATATTCCGAAAAGTAACGTTAGTGATAAGGTAGAGAAAATTGCAAAACAAAAATGGCTAGATTTAGAAATCAAATTTCTGTATAGTAAACGAAGTATGCTTGAAATTGAAGCCTATGGACTTTACAAAAAACTTACTTATAAGCTAACTAATGTAGATTATGAATGTTGGTGTCTCTTTTAGAGAAATATATTTGTGGTTATCAATTCAAAATTTGTTAAGAAAATGTCCATTTTGACTAGTAAGTTTAAAAAATTAAAAAGCTCTAAAAACAAACATGTTTTCCAAAGAGACATAAACATAGTAGAGAATCTTTCTTCGCAGACTTTTGATAAACAAGAGCTCAGTTTATTAAACAAAGGTTTAAAGTTTGCATTGCCCAACTCTGGTAGCGCTTTGGAGGAAATCGTCGTTGGTGTTAAAACTGCTATTCAGCACTTGCCCGAGGCTTCTAAATTTTACAGTTTATAATCATCTGCTGATGATGCTAACATGGTTAGCGAAACGCGCGTCCAGTGTAAAAGTAAAAGTGTTTTGGTGTATTTTGGTGATTCAGTGTTTTTATTTTGCTGTGTAACACCAAAGGTTCCAACCCTCAACTGTAATAATGTCTTATATCTATCAAAAATAGTAGATAAAATAGTACTTTAACCACAAGGGTAGATTAAATGATACTTTAACAGCCAGGATAGGTTAAAAACTTTATTTCTTCTCGCACGATTTTTAATTGCTTCCATTTTTGAAAGTTTTTGTACTCCTTTTTATACGTTATTCGGGATTTTAAATGGAAGTGGTTTGGATATGGCGTTTGTCGTCTCAGCCTGAATATCTGTTGGTAATTTACTTATTTCGTTTTGAGCCATTTCTGGCTCCAATTCAATCAGCAATCGACACGAAAGAGAATTAAAAAATATTGACTCAAAACTGACAACTAAAGAGATAGCTTTATTTATTTGTCAAATTACATATAGAAACCAACGTCAACCCAGCAAAATATTTTTTCTACTCGTAATAAATTCCTTGAAATAATAATTTCTGAATATTTTTTAAAACGTAACTAGCTATGGAAAAAATATTGTTTTATACACGACGATAAAATTGTATTATCGTTTCCTGAAATTAATTCACTCGCGATTTCATTAGCCGTCAATTAATCTTTTCGGTCGACGATAAAATACCATTTTATCGTCTTGTATAAAAAATAATTTAAAGTACATTATAAGAAAGATATTTAAATAATTGAAATTTTATATACTATCATAATCTACGCAATCATATATCAAAAGAACTACCGAAGAGCAAACACCTAAATAGATAGACATCTTAACGTTTTGCCGAACCGACCAACTCTTCGTGGAGGTACAGATTTTCCTACAGATACCATGCAAATACCGTAATAGTAACAGAATACCTTTTTACTTAAGATTGTTAAGTGATATTCTCTTTTAAATAGAGTACCTAGATGTAGCGATAGATATCGGTGCTTTTAAGTAGGTTGGCAGCTAGCTATAGCGGTCCGCAAGTTAACAGCTGTCAGTTTTCAGGTACATTAAAATGCATTTCGGAATGTTTTACAGATAATAGATATGTATTACTAGGTAAATATAATTTATAGCACGTGTTTTCTTATTAATCTAATCTGTTATTAAGACATTAATGTATTATGTGTGTTAAATTATTGTGAAATGTTTGATAAAGAAATTTAGAGCAGAGAATTTGAATAATTTTAAATTGGTTTTGACTTGTACACTTATAAATAAAGGATCAGTTATTCATAAAATGATAATTTGACTGTACAGGGTGTAACAAATTCGAGCCTCATCATTGGGATCGCAAAATGGAGACAAAGCCCAAAATGGAGGCAACTGATCGGCATGTTACATATTGTCAAATTAAAGCATCATTGGGTATTTCAAAGATCTCAATTCAAAAAATTTTACATGCAGAATTATCTGTTAAAAAATTAGTTTCCCGTTTGATACCGCATCTGTTGACGGAAGAACAGAAAGCAATTAGAATCAATTGGTGTCAAAAATCTCTAGACCAGTTTAACGCAGAAAACTAAAAAAAGTATGAATCAATCTCCGTTCTCAAAGTATTTCCAAAAAAATGGTGGCGACATTTGTCTCAAAAACGGGTTAGGTAGCAACAGTTCCTCTGCAAGATTAATGAACTGTTAATGTTGATTGGTACATATCTGTTTTTTTTTCTAAAACTAACCCTCAACGACGAATGATCGTCCACCAAGACAATGCAAGTTCCCACACAGCTCCAAAAGCAATCGAATTTTTAAAGCAAGAACACATAACATTGTTGGACAATCCTCCATACAGTCCCGACCTAAGGACTTTTTTACTTTTCCAAAAATTAAGAAAGAACTGCGTGGTCAACGGTTCCAGTCACTAGAAGATGCAAAAATACTCTTCGAGGAGAATACTTCTAAAAACAGTAGTGTTTGAAAGTTATCTACTGTTTTTTCTACCTCTAGATGCAAAATATAAAAGACAACCCTCGTATCTACTCTAGTAAAGCCTTAAAAAATAAAAATGAAATCGCAAATGTTTATTTTTTCAAAAATTTTCGGAAGTATTCAGAATTTTTAAATTTTTAAAATGTCATTTTGATCAGCATCAAATTGCGCAATTTTGACTAACCGACCACGTATCTCTTCTCGTTTCCGAGCTTCCAATGATTAGGCGCTAGGCTCGAATTTGGGACACTCTATACTTAATTAGTATCCCCTTATAAATGTTTTCATATTCTTATTAATGACATATCAAGGCAGCGTGGTGCGTGTGACTCATAGACTAAAGAGGGATGTTTGTGACTAGGGGTGGGCGTCAAATGTAATGTCAGAAACGAATTATATCATTAAAATGAGATTAAAAGGAGGCATGTCGGCGTACTTGTGCTTCTAATTATTTTATAATCATACTAATATGAACAATTTTATTTAATATGTAATCATGTAATAATGACGCGTAATAATCGTTGACTTTTTAAAATTATGAGTGTCACCCATTATCTACTATAATTAAACTTTCCTCTTCGAATTCCCTCACTTGCAATGGCTGTCTTTTGTTTAGAGAAACTGAACAAATTAGGCAAAGAAAATAAAGTCCTCCTACACTGGGTGCCAGCCCACGAACACTCCACTAACTGAACCAGAACCGTTCTGCCTTCCAAGTGGAAACCAACTTAAGTGGAATTCAAGAAACCGTAACCTGGGGGGAATAGAAATCCTTCAATGGTCTAAGACAGTCGAAGAAATTTCTCGGGAGTTACGAACGATAAAAATCAAAGATTTTCCTTGATTTAAGTAAGAACAATCTTCGGATTGTCACGGGGTTTGGTTTAACAGGACAATTTCCTCAATGAATACCTTAGTAGGCTGAAAAAACAACGGCGATGGCGGATTCGGTGGGGACAATGGCGAAACACCAGAACTCCTCATCACTGAGTGCGCTGAGACGACAACCATTTGTGCCATGAACTTTGGTATGACTGTTATCGGAGATGGAATCTCTAAAGGGGCGGCCATCACGGTCTTTCTGCCGAGAAGGAAGGGGAAAGACACCA